TTGAAGTCCCCCATGAGGGCCAGGGCCTGTAAATGTTAGGCTATTGCTAGCTGTCTGTAGAAGGCCTCATCTACTCCTTTCTTCCTCCTGATCAGGTAGCCTACCGCAGACTCCCACTACAATGTCACCCATATTGGTGTTTTGTTTGGGGGTTTTTTGTGTTGTTTTTGGTTTTGTTTTGTTAGCTTGCTGGTGCCCTTCAGAAAAATCTGCCATCTCCTAGTGGTCCAGAGACTACAGGCTAAAAACACTGCCTAAATCAATGCCAAATTGCCATCCTGGACAGTTCTGCAAAACTGATCTTTTTTTTCCAGCACATGAGAGACAGCTACATACAGCTACCACTTACACCTAGAGTGCCACTGAATGCATACAGCTGGCTACTATGGCAAAAGCTATGGCTAGCTGATGAGCTCTGCTAGTTTCAGACCTACCACTTGATGGATTTTAAAATAAGTTCACTCAAATTGTCATAAAATTGTCTTTCAGTGAGAAAGCTAATGACAGCCTTTACTTTACCTGGGTAGAAGATACAACACTGCTTCAGACCCAGTGTGCAAAATGTAAATATTCGGGCACTTCCACCTTCTCTAAAAGCACTCCTTCTCTTGATGCCTCGTTTTGATTTACAGAAGCTTCTCTGCAGTAGACTACAAACAGGCACCCAGACACAACTGATAGTCAAACACAAAGACCACTGCACATTCTTTTAAAAAAGGTTCAAACTGGATTGTGTTTGCTTTAGGAATATAATCTCACTGTGAATGTCTGTAAACTATATGGCTCCCTCTTGTGCTTATTATACCACACTTCAGTGTACAAAAAATTTTTTAACATTAAGCCATAAATATGTGGGCTCTGTTCACCCTTCAGTAGGCATGCAATGCCCATAAATGTTAATGGAAATCACACGCATACTTTCCAGTGGAAAAGAAAAACCTGCCGTTTACAAAACTTCTCTTTGGAACAAACTACAAAAACATCTTGCAAACTACAAGTCAGTTGCGATGAAAATGCTTTTTTGACAGTTCACTGTATTTTGATAGCAATGCAGAGGCCAAATATGCCTTTAAAGTACATCTGTAAGAACTTTTAACTGTTTTTTAGTTATCAAATTACATATGTTTAGAAAGGTGTCAGTATGGTTTATAGAGCCTGGCTAACATGCTCAAGGGTTTATTTTTGTCTACTCGACATCCCACCTGTTTCTGCTTATCAAACCAGACCACAGTTTAGCTTGCAACAGCTGCGAAATGCATAAATCTGCCCATTCTTCATGTGTATCCAGACTAAGCACTTGGAGAAAGAGTTAGAACTGCAACCTTCTGAGAAAGCCACCCTCATGGAGAAACTAGGGAAATAAAACAGAACAGCACTTGTCAAACTGTTTAAAACTGCACACCTATCAGAAGCCAAATTATTTTAATAATTTTTAATACCCTTTTATTCCCTTGGCCATTAGCAACATTTTGCAGACTAAAAATGCTCCAAAGGAATTAAAATATTTTGCTTGCACAAAAGATCCCCTTTTTTAGTGTCTTCAAAGATCAGCAAAACACCTATCAAGATGCTACCTGTTTTCCTTTTTCCTTAGCTATCAAGAGAGTAAACATAGTTATAAGATTTTTGGATTACAAAAATGTATTTGTAAATTAAAAAAAAAAATAATATTAGCCTGCATATCTAAAGCAGTAGTAAAATCCTAGTCACATAGGCCAGCTTTCATTAAAATGCTTATGCTAAAGCAGTAGTAGTACTGAATGAAATGACGGTATACAAAAACCTAATTTTCACTTTCATAAAGCTTGCAGGGTATACTGCCTTTCACAGGGAAGTGGTTTTGCTTTGCTTTTTTTCAATTATATGATGAATTTTTCTCTCCTCACCTCTTCTTCCCTTTTCCATATGCCCAGGAATTTCTAAAAACATTACCCTTAGCACTAGTATTTTGTGGGTCAACTTTGCTCATAAAATGATATGAACGCATGCAAGATGATACTAAAATTCACATCAGCTTTTTTGAATAATGAAAAATGGTACATTGTTTTAGGGAAAAAAGCAGCTTTTTTTTTTTAATGAACTTTTTCTCTCCACCATTTCATAAATTACAAGGTCTTATTTTTGAGAGCAAAAACAGAAATCAAAAAGTTTTAGAACTTTCCCATGCGTTTTCATCAAAAATATTAATAATAGGTACCTAGTACATTCACTTGGACTTCTGGAGCCAGCTGAAATTATTTATCTTCCTAATGTGACATTTACCAAATACTAAAAAAACCAAACCGTTCGGCTGAAATTGTGGTTACATGGCAGTGCTGAAGCACAGCACCAAACAACAAGAACACACCTAAAATTTACCTAATATTTATTACCACTCATTCTCCAAAGAACAAGTAAATAAAGCAAATGATTCCTATGTGATCTACCTTCATGCTCACGCTCAACATGAAACAACAGTTATGTTATACAAGAGCATAAAACAAGCATTAAAAGTATTTGTCAGGAGAATAACAAAAAATCAATCTGGTCCAGATTTCTGACCACAAGTGACCAGAACCTATATTTTCACAATTCATACAAAAGGCAACAGTGCAGTACTAAACACTTTCTTGGGTATACTAATATAAAGCTCAGAGAAGACCACCATTTATGTAAGTGCTATTTCCACAAAGGTTTCCCATTGCCGCAGATCAAACCAAACTGAATCAGTCTGAACAATATCAGACTGAGAAGTCTTTCTCCATGAGCTGCCATACCAGCTTCCATAGAATTGCAAATGTAAACCAGAAAATGTAACAGTACAGGGTATTAAAGGCTATTGTTACCATGTACAGCACATCACCATCACTGGGGTTCTAAAGACAGTCTGCCCCTCAAGTTCTCTCACATACATTATTTTCTTTGCTCAAACTGTAGTTTTTCTTACTCTTAACAGTTAACAGCATGGACTGTGATGCAGAATATAAATTATTTTTAGTGAGACATTACTTGACCGCAGTAGCTTAAATGCTATACAAATGATCTTTGATTAGCTTTAAGAGACAATAAGAGAAATAGTGTATTTGCTATCCTTAAACAGATTATGTGCCACATGAAACTTTCATAAATAAAAAAAATGTTTTGCCAAACATTTAAGCCGCTTTTCATGTAATAGATATCTCATGCTTCAACTGATGTTACACCACTGCATTTTATATACACTCTTGAGTTGTGCTTGCATCACTTTACACGTAATCATCAATCACTTAGAAGCAGTTCTGAAATACTGGACACATGGCAGTCAAAATCCAGGGTGTCATTCCAGATATCACTTCTCTGTAAAACTATTTCAGGGTTTTTTTAATTAATGTTGTGATCGTATAACCTCTCACATGCTACTACTAGTGCAGGATTAGCTAATGAAAATGATGGAACTAGTCATAGTGATAGTTTAGCTATTTGATCAAGTACTTGCAAGAACATGAATAGCAGCTGGAAGAATTGGATAATGTTACACTATATTCTGCTAATAAGTCTTTAAAAACAGCAGAACTATTTAGGGGTAAAAAGATATTCTAAAGAAATAAAATTTAGTTCTGTTTGCTCAGGCAGAATACTTTGAGAAAACAAGTGAAAAGCTGGAAGGTCATGTGTGGACATCTAGGCAGCCTAGAATAGCACATGCCAAGAGAATAGAGTTAGCTAAACTATCATTTCCTGAATTGTGGCACCTGGAAGGAAGAATTTTGTTCTCTCTTGATATTAAAGCCACTGTTTCCATCCTACTCCTTGCCTCAAAATGAAGTGCATCTTATTTGGTTTTCACCCACTATTTTCAATGACTTTAGTTTTCAAAATGTATCCTCCTGCTCAAGCCACATGGGGAGAGTGGGCTGTGTGATGTGTTTAGGTACCTGCCCCACAACACGTGGTAAATTGACACTGTGTTTGAAACATATGAAGTTCTTAAAACACTAAACAGCTAAACAAAATAATTTTAACTTTTGTTGATTTAAAGCAGTCAGAGAAGCTTTGGAACTCTGATAACATTAAAGGAGAATAGAATTGCTTTATGTCTTCTAACCTCTCCTATGGCCAAAAAAATGTCTCTAGATCATGCAATTGTGAAAATTCAGTACATAGTGTCATATGCTTTTTACGCAGATTGTGCCACAGAAAGCTTTGGATATTTGGGCATTGAACACTACCTTGACAACACCACATCACCGTTCACTTAAAACATCGATTATGTCTAGACATCAGTCAGAGTAACAGTTCGTTCTTTCTTAGAAACTCGACTTAAATCATTACTTCAGAACATCATGAAAAGTTCACTCATCTCAAGCCTTCCCATACTCAAATTGTTACCAGATGGGTTTATCTTTGTATTTGAAAGCAATCAAAATAATTATGTTAAATAGAATAGAAAACAACAGTTAATCCATGGTCATTGGAAATACAACATATGCAATGGTTTTATTCTATGTCAATTAACAATTATAATTTTAATTTATTTACTGCAAACTGCATACATTTTTCAAAGAGTCATAGAGGAATAGGTTCTAGATCTCTGCAGGTCATCTAGTCCAGCTTCCCACAAGCAAACTTCTGGAATCTGGCTACCAGTAGCAAGTTGAAAACAATAACTGGAACATTCCTTATCCCCTTTTCCCCAGAATAAACAAATCAAGCTCCCTCAGTGTCTCCTTGTATGGATAAAGGGCTGAAGCAAATGACATCTTAATAGCCCTCCTCTGATCTCATGCCAGTTTGTCAACACACCACTTGTACTGGTGGGCCAAAAACTGAACAGTATTCCAGACGAAGCCCCACCCAATGCCAAACAAAGGGCAGTAATCACTGCTCTCAATGATCTAAATACATTCTTAGATATTCATAAGCATACTGAACTGAAATTTTAACAGCAGTTCAAAAAACAGCAGGAAATTGCTTTAATGATTCAAACCTTTAAGAGCAGTACACTTGCTCTATTATTTAGCATCACTGTTTTCACACCTTCCTCAATAATCATCATGAGAACAACATACACTGTATACTACATTTAAGATGCTTACCTGAATAACTTTGTAGAAATAGGCATACTGTCGAGCTGTATTTTTATATTGGCTAAAAACATCGTGTATGGCCTGAGTTGACTGAAGATACTGCACTTCTTCTTCTTCAAAATAGAGAGGTGTGTCATATTCACTGGGGAGTGTCTGGATGTAGGGCAGCCAGAAGGAGTTGGAGTTGGCTCGCTCACAAAGAAGATGGAATGCCAATGTTATATTGCCCATGGCTTGAAGAATTCGATCTTGAGAATAGAGGGATCCTGAAATAATCCAGAAAAGTGAGGCACTAAATTAGTTGTCCATGGGAAATATCATCCTAGATTTACTTCAAATGAACATCATGACATAACGTGAAAATTTTCAACAAAATATAAAAGCTTTGTCACGTTTCAAAAATATTTAGCTGCCCGCATCACATTATGCTGCAAGTTATTTGACACAGTAAGCGCCTCATGTACAACTAGATGACAGAAAACATGAAGAAACATGAAGAAGCTAGAATAATACTCGCAGTACTTCAGAACACTTTATCTCCAAGTGTTATACAAGCTACAAGATATGTGTTCAAAATAACACGCACACTTCTGGAACATATCTAGTGCACTCAGCCAGAAACAAGGAGGAAAATTAAATTGTTTCCACTGAAACTTCAAGCTTTTAGGTATTCCAAACGTGATGGTTGGCATGATAAGCAAGTCCTGTAATAAAGGCGATCAGCTAAAAAAAAAAAAAGGAAGTCTTATTGAATTATCCCATACATGTCAACTTCTTGCTTAAGAGCTTCCTTAAACTCTTACCTAATACTGAATTTTTAGCTGACTCAACTGTCATCAACAGTTTTCTAGGAACCCACAGAAACAACTCTTCAGCCTACAGAAAGGAAAAAATGCATAGAGGGTCAGTTAGCATTTCTATATGCCATGTGTCTCATATTTGTATCGTCTTTAAATTACAGGGGGTTTTTTTAAATCAAAATTCTTCTGAATCAAAATTCTTCCTTCTCTTCCAATGCAAATTAAACAAACATGCTGTGTTTCATATTGTGCTAACCAAACGTTCCAATCTGCATTACATAAAGCTTAAAACAATGACACTTAGCTTACAAAATAGAGTCCTTCAGTTTGGAACTGCCAACATGTAGATTGCCCACACAACCTCAAAGCGACCAGATACATTATATTGGTATTAGTTACATGATCAAATATTTTCTCCCAGTAGAGGTTTTTTCACATTGCCCATTCTTATTTTAGAAGAACTGTTCAGGATTTGTATCTACCAGTAGTGCTAAGCCTTATTAACTATGTGCTACTAAAGCCCTAAAATGAATATAATATCTTCCTTTTCTAATATTCTTCTACAGCAGTTGATTGTTCTTCAAAGCTGTTTCCCATCTGTAAAATGGGAATAGAAAGAGGCAATCTTAAATGCTTACCTTTTAACAGTTAGCTAACTGTGTGTGTCTATACTCCTTACCTGATGATCAAAAGATATTCTTTACAATTGTCAGGTAATTTTGGGTTTGGGTTTTTTTCATTTTCACTGGAAAATAAGTATTGCAAATACATCTTTCTGAGGCAAAGAGACCAGTGCTTTAAAAGAAGGGACATAAAAGAAGAGGAGAAGAGAC